CATCCCAGAGTGTTCGCACTGGGATCGCTGCCCCTCCGCTTGGAGAGGGACGGATCCCGGATTTGCTTGTCTTCCTGTAAACGGGCAGGGTCTCTCCCGGTCCCCTCCAGCCAGACCCCGGCCCCCAACTCCCTACGCTCTTGCCTTTACACCTCCCTCCAGCACAGCAGGAGCAGTTTTAACCAGGGGAGGCTCAGGAGTTTGGGCCTCCCTCCCCAAATTTTTTCTGCTGCGGACCCTTGGGTCCCGGCTGGCTGCACCCTCTCATCCCAGCTGCTGACGTGAGCCGGCTCCTTCTCCCAAACACGTCCGCACCGGCGAGCGGTCTTACACCGCTGACGGCTGTCGCTGGCCCTCCTGTCGCATGAAGTCCTTGCCCACAGCACCTCCTTCCCTCAGTTGTGGGAAAGCTGCCATTCCTCCTACTTAAAACTAACAACCTGAAGGCATTCTTGCTGTAGGAGAACATCAATATCTAATCAATTAAGTATTAATTAATACTGCTCAATGGAGATTCATTTCATTCATGTGCGTGCCCACCCGGACATTACTGCAGCAGGCGGCAACAGCTCAACAGCCTTCACGCCGTCCTTCTCCCTCGGGCTGGTCTCTGTCCTGCGCCGGGGAAGCCCATGTCGGCCGCCTGACTCCCCGGGGCCACTTTCTGCCCCTCTTTGCCAAAATCCCTTCCTTAAGCTGCTCCCTCTCCTCCTTTCCCATCTGGGCTGAAAGCCGCAGGCGCAGCAGAGCTGGGGAGGGTGCAGTGCCCCTGGGGAAGCTCCTAAACCGCCATTTCAGCTCCTGCGTGGTGGTTGGTGGTCCTCAGGCTCAGCATGGCAAATACATCTCCATGGGTGCCTGGGGGACCACCCTGAGCTCTTCCCAGCACCCTTTCTGCCTGAGAGCAGGGAGCTGGGGTACAGTCCCAGGTGTTAGCCAGCGAACCCCCAGTTAGGCAGGCCGGTTAATGCTGGTTAGGGCCGGGGACTCGCTAAAGCCCACCACGGCTGCCTGCAGCAACACTCAGATACCACCACCAAAACCGCTCCTCCAGAACCGGGCGATCAGCCTGAAACCCCCCACCCGCCGGAGCTGCCCTCTGCACAGCGGCAGAGGTCCAAGCGGTCCTGCCCACAAAGCCCTTCTGGACCGCCGTGGCCGGACCCGGCCACCAGCTGAACGTTTCCTCCCAGCTCCTGCGCAACCAGTCAATCCATGCTTTAAGCACCGGGAGGACTGAGCACGCTGCCGGCACCCCTGTGCCCGAGCACCCCTCCATCTCCTGGATAACACCTCCTCTTGGTCCTCAGCCATCGCCGGTTTGCCTGACACTCACCGTTCAGGGCTACGGGGCACTGCTGTCACCCCAGTTTGCTTTTGCAACCGGCTCCTGCAGCCTGCCCAGCCCGCGGTGGCACAGAGCCTGTTCCCCACCCTCACGTTCCCTTTCGCCGCTGCCCTCCTACCCATCCGTGGGTGACCGCAAGGTGCCACCAAGAGCAGGGTGCTCTCTCCCGGGCGTGAGGTCCACCTTGCTATATAGTTTAACCCTCTGTTGGTATCAGATGGCCAGCCCTTGCTTGGCTTTTAACCTCTCCTCAAATTCTGCCAGGCTTTCCGAGGAATTACACTGCACTGTCTCCAACTCAACAGCAGGGAGTTACGGTGTGTCCCGAGGCTTCAGCCTCCCAGCAACTGTTACGCTCGGTCTTACGGCAAAAGGAAAAAAGGAGATGCTTAAATCTACCGACTGTCCTGCTCTCCATGGCTGTGAGCCCTGTAGGGAACGAGGTATGGCACAGGTATATGGGAGAGTTACCTGCTCCGGTAATCGCCGGCATATTGAAAATCTCTGTTCCAGGCTGCCCAACATCTGGAGAAAAACAAAGAAGCTCTTCAGTACAGAGAGCAGCGTGTGCAGGCTGGCGGGAGGGAGAGACCTGCTGTGCCAGCCACGACAAGGTCCTGGTGTCCCCGTCACAGCACCCAGGCTGACAGTAGCCCACCTCCCCCAGGCACGGGGGTAGGTCTGCGGGTGCTGGCTGGGACCAGGAATAATTGCCTTTGGGAGAACCACAGTGGGCACGTCTCGCCAGCTGGGAAAGGGAAGAAGAGCAGAGCCCAGAGAGCCAGGGCGATGTCTTTGTGCTCAGTGACCTCCCTCCCTCCAGCCCTTCGCATTACAAGCTCCGCGAAGTTAAACCCTCTCTCCTGCCTACGGGATTTCCAAAGGCTCAAATCCTCATATCCAGGGAGCGGGTCTGGGCAGTGGGGAGGGTGAGAAGGAGAAGAAATGTTAAATCAATATTTTTCCTCTTAGCTGAGCTGTTTGACTTGGATATCACTTTCCTTAGAATAACAGAAATTCTCATCAAATAAGAGGTGTTTCCTATTTCTATATATTTTCCCTTGATAAGGGAAAGTGTGGAAGGTCACAGGGCTCGGCCACATGTCCCCAAAGGGGCATAACAATACTCTTAGTTCATGGTAACATCATCCAGGAGACGAGACAGCTCGGTCCCTCTTATCCGATGCAGCTGTTGTAAGATGGATTCAAATTGAATTAATATTGACTGTATAATGCTGGGCTAAATTAAATTATGATCCTATCTACTCTATTAGCGGTTAATGAATGAACAGGCTGAATTTCTAATATAAGCCAGCCTGGTTAGTTTTACAGAGCTATACCAATATTGATGTAGGGCTTAAAGTAACACTGGGGGGAGATGCATCTCAAGGAGGAAGGATTCAGCTTGGCTGGCCATTCATTAAAATATCAATTGCTCTTAAGTCTTCTCCATGCTCAGCTCATTATTTCCTTCCTATTGAGGTTATCTGGTGCGGGTGGGATTGACAGCCCCAGAGCAAGGAGACGTGGGGCTGGGAAGCCTCCCATCGCCTCCCCAGATGCACACAGCCACTGCTGGCACCAGCACAGCTCATCCCAGGAAGGATTTGGACCTTGCACTTCCCAACAAACCACGGCACAATGCAGAGAGCGCTGGCTGGCAGCTCCCAGCCCTTAACACAGCAGCACCCATTCCCAAATCTCCTTTGCTTCATGTGTCCTCAAGGCTTTTTCCCCACTGGTGCCCCGCATTCACCTCCCCACATGTCCTTACTGTACTCCGTTTCATTTTTGTTGGTCGTGCTGAGCTTCTTGATGATCTCCTGTTTCTTGGACTTCACCATGGCAGAGTTGCTCTCAGTCAGCTTGCTGAAGAAAGCTGGAGGCTGAGTGTTGTTTCCTGGGGACTTGGAGCCCATCCTGCGAAGCAGAAGACCATTGGAAACCTCTGCAACGTCCAGTTCACAAAGTCCTACCTAGAGAGACTCTTCCCTTAGATTAAGTCCTCAAAATCAGCCTGGGGGCTCCCGAGATCTCCAACTTTTCTCCCTATCCCTACCGTAAAGGTACCACACGCTGTTGAAAAGCCCCCCCAAACAGACAGCAACCTGGGAGGTGACATTGCTTTTGGCTGCAAGAAAAGCAGCCCGGGCCAGGGCGAGCGTGGGGATGGGGGGAACGTCCCCACGCTGTCTCCACCGTCCCCTCCCTCGGCGTTACCTCTGGTCTATCTGCTCGCCCTCACGGTACAGGATCGGGTACGTGGCGCTCTTGGCGTGCTCCGATTCTCCCACGCCGTCTGGTGGAGAGACCGGCTCGATACAGTTGTCCGACCCGCTCCCGGCCGAGGCTTTGCTCTGCTCTGGGGACCTGCGGAGAGCGATGGGGAGATGCAATCGGTTTATTGCAACATCCTCTGTCTCTGCACAGCAGTTCGGGGTGGGGGGGGAGAAGGACTAAAATAGCTTTCCTACAGCAGGGGAAAAAAGCCAAACCTTCCACACCCCTGTGGGCTTACGGCGCCTTTTAATGCAAGCTGGAAGAAGAGCACAGCTTGGGCATTTTTCTGCACCACAGGCGTGCGGAGCAGGACTGAGCCGAGATGTGGCCCAGATTTCCAGGCAGCGGGCCAGCCCAGGCAGCGGCCCAGCCGGCAGCCGCCCCAAATACAGTTGCCCACGGCAGGACCAGTCCTGGGACTTGCTAGCTCAGCCCAAGTGTCCCTCGCTGGCAGGGACACAATCCCTGTGGAGGGCTGGGACGTTAACCCTTTGGGGACTTTTTGATTCTCCATCATATTTGCAGACACAGGGGAGGGCAGCACCCGCCACCTCCCATCCACCTTGTCTGGGGCCGTGCCGGGGCTCGCTGGCTGCGGGCGATGAGTCCGGCGCTGGGGCAGCCCGGAGAGGACCGATGCAGCCCCCCGATCCCTGCCCATGGCCAGCGCCTGGGAGACGGCCAGGCTCAAGTCCGCGAGGAATTCCTCACGGCAAGTTCTGGGAATTTACGTCTTTGTTCTTTCTGTGGTTTCTTTTTTTTTGCCACTTTTTTTTTTCATCGCTGGGTGGCCAGGGCTGGGCTCTCTCCCCTAATGTTACAAAGCCAATTCTAGGACCAGGCAGAGCTGGGAGTAATAATCACATTTACTGACAAGGAACCACCAGTTTGGAGA